TGTGAGATTGATACTCAGAGAGAGGATGTAGGACAGACAGACGTGGAGAGATGCTGCAGGCAAGGATACACAGTGTTGTGAGATTGATACCCAGAGAGAAGACACAGGGCAGACAGAGGTGTTGCAGGCAAGGATGCATAGTGCTGTGAGATTGATACCCTGAGAGAGGACATAGGACAGACAGACGTGGAGAGATGCTGCAGGCAAGGATGCATAGTGTTGTGAGATTGATACCCATGCAGAGGACACGGGGCATACAGAGGTGCCAAGACAAGAGAGCCAGGAAATCAGAGGACAAACGTACTTCAGCTCAGTTTGTGACCTTGCATGCTGAAGTTAGGAAGACTCAGCTCAGTGCCGGGCTTCACTTGCTAACTCTGTGAACCTGGTAAGTCGGTGAAGTCCTTGGGTCTGTTTCTTCATCTGTGAAGATAATACAGACTGAAGGTGTAGCCTAGTGGTAGAGCATTGCCTAGCATCCATGGTCTAGTCCTACCACTGCACACATAATAAAGATGGAAGTGGCTGTTGTTTCAGAGAAGGCCCGGAGGATGACACAGCCCATGCTTATGTGTCTGTACATCTGGCCCACCACAGTGCAAGCTCATGTGTGCCTGCCACACAGAGGAGCTGATGTGTGGTCAGTTATGCCAAGTCAGTGCTGAATCTGCAATGTGGGCTGGGTGTCAATGGCCTTTATTCCAGCCATACATTTTCATCCATTTTGTGTGGTGTTGGAGCCTTGGCTTTGCTTTGTGTATGGACTGTTAATCATGGCTGAATTTCAGCAGTGTGGATGACTGGACTGAGGTCTCCTGCTGAAGTGTCCTTAGAAAACACCAAGCCTTCTAACCAGAAATGTGCTGTGGTACGATTAATAAAAACCCAGAGACAGACATTGGGGTCTGTCAGAAAAGCAAAACTGCCAGCCACAGGCTCTGACCTCTGCTTCAGTCTGACATGGTGATCCTGTCTCCTGAATCCTCAGAGTGAAACTGTGTGTGAGAGCTGTCTCCTCCCGTCTTATATTCCTCTCTAGTGCTGGGATTAAAGATGCACACCACTACTGCCTGGTTTCTATGGTAAACTAGTATAGTATAGTTAGTAAAAGTGTGTGTCACCACTGTCTGGTCTGTAAGGTTGACTAGTGAGGCTGTTTTACTCTTGAACTTTAGGCAAGCTTTATCTATTAAAATACAAATGAAATATTACTACAATGTGCCATTGCACATGAGCCAAGTGAGGGATAATTCGGGTCACACTGGAGATTTTGGATATTATGTTTGTCAGCTTCCTGTTACTGTAACAGAATACTTGGGACAATCAACTTATAGGGAGGAAAGGAATATTTTGGCTCACAAGCTCAGTGATTTCATCCCATGTTCAGTTTGCTCCATTATTTTGGGCTTGCAGTGAGGCAGAGCATCATGGTTAGGAATGAAAGATGGAGGAAGCTGCTCACCTCATGCTGACCAGGAAAAGCAGAGAGCTGGGAAGGGCCTGGGCATCTGATTCTCCAGTGAGCCAGGTCCTGTCTCTTAAAGTCTCACTGCCTCTTAGCATCATGAACTGGGGATTAAGCTGCAAGCCTTTGCAGAACACGTAATGGTAGCAGATCCACCTGGCTCTGTGGTGGCCCACAGGGCTGGTGTCCCTAAGCTGTCAGCACAGTCAAAAGTGGGGTAGTCTTTTGTTCAGGTGACTGCTGGGCCTGAGGAGGTCTCAGCAGAAATTTCTGATAGCCAGAAATGTGGAACCAGGATTTAGGGCTGAGATCTCAGCCAAAGGAGAGAGTTTGAGATTTTTCCTCTTGAGAGGTAAGAGTATAGACTGCAGGGTTCCAAAAGGGGCAGGGGTGAAAGAAATCCCAGTAGCTCACATGTGTGATCCCAGCACTCAGGAGGTGGAGTCACGAGAACTGTTACAGGTTTGGGCCAGCCTGAGCTACATAGTGAGTGCCAGGCCAGCTCAGGCCACAGAGTGAAATCCTGTCTCAAAACCACAATGTAAAATTTAATTATGTTGCATAATTGTGAACGTGCACATGCTTGTAATTCCAACAGTCCAAGGCTGAGGTAGGAAAAGCTTGAGTTAGAGGCCATAAGGAGACACTGTCTCCAAACAAAACCAAAGGGAAGCTAGGCACAGAGAGGTGTGTGGCCTTCTGAGCTGAAGGTGAGGGGCAGGGACTCTGCTGTAACTGCACTTTAACCACACCATTAGGGAGCAAGGAGGAGTCCTGGGGTGCAACCATGCTTGCCGTGCTCTTGAGTTACTGAAATCAGTTGGAGTTGAGTGGAATGTGCAGTCCCTTAAGCCTGGCAGAAGCAGAAGCAGTGGCCCAGAGGTTGCTCTTATCTGTGACCCTGGCCTGACTCAGAAGTCGGAATGAACAAGCATTCCCTTGAGTGCTGCTGTGCAGCCCCGGGCTTACAGATCTGCGCCGTTTGCCTGGAAGGAGGCCTGAGCAGCAGCTAATACGTCTGCTACAATTAACGTCCTTTGCCTGTTTGCTTTAGAGATTTGTGTACTCACTTTTTGGAAATGCCTTTCCCAAACGCTTAGTGGCTTTTGTGGAAAGCTGCAGACTTTACCAGTAGTGAGACCCTGCTGCCCTCTAGTGTCCACTACAAGCAGGAGCATTTTGTTTAACAAAAAACCAGATTCTGGCTTGGGCTCCAGATGTGGATTTTGAGAAAAAAAGTCATATGTAGCTACTGGTGCCACGCCTTAATGATGCCTGAGCAAATGAAACGGGTAGTAGAAAACTCCAGTGTGTACGTGGGCAGAGTTGAAAATCAGCTGATGGAGCAGCTGAGCACATGGTCGGGAGAAAATGGAGTTGAATGTCAAGCCTCACCTTCTCGGCGTGGTTTCTCACAGATGCCCCCGTGGGAAGCCTGGAGAATGGGGCAGGACCAGAGGACCATCTCCTCCCAGAGCCCGGCCTTCGGTACAGGTCAGTGCCAGGACCGTGATGTGCTGTTTATATTTGCATTGATTCTCATTTAGAGATAGGTTTGTACTCATTTGTGCATTGTCAGGGTCATAGATGGCCATTTCACCCAGATAAATCCTTCTGTGATCCATTGTCATAGGCAGGCGGCAGCTCAGTGGTGGAGTGCTTGCACAGTGTGCCAAAAGCCCAGGGTTCCACCCCAGGACAGGCAGCGGCCACCCAGCCTCATTTGCACTCCGCCTCCTCTCCACCTCTGCCACCACACTGATGTCCCTTCTCAGCCCTCCTACTTGGAGCTCGTTAGTAGTTGGTCATGGTGTCCGGCATCCCTTATTCAGGTTATGGGGAAAGGTGTCATAGTTGTCAAGTATTCAGGCTACTGCCTGGGAGCTTGTAAGTGTAGAAAGCTTATCCCTTCCACATTTAAAACAGCAGCAACAACAACAAAAAACAAATCAAAACAAAAATACCAGCCAGCCAAACAACCAAAAACCCAGACGTAAAACTGAGATGCCCAAGGTCACTGTTGTTTACAGAGGGGACATAGCCACCGAGGTCTCCTAGCATCACCATCATCTCTGTTACTCCTATTACCCCCTTCATGATTTTAATTAGGTGTCTTGAAGTTATCCATCTGTATGCCCAGCTCAGCTTCAAGGTGAGGGGTCCTGACTGCCCCATACTTGGCTTGGTGTCTTGTTACTCAGACAGACAGGATTCTGAAAATGACATGCTGGGGTTTCCAGTAAACTCCAGGCTCACCTGCAGTAAGAAGGAGTGTCTGACTCGGGCGGCTGCTTTCTGTCTTTCCAGTAGATTCCCAGGGACGCTCACCTGTGAGCGTTGCAAGCTCTGAACTTGTGTATTTGGCCGAGTATAACTTCCTTCTATCTGCTTTCTCTCAGTATGGAAGCCAGTTCTCCAGGCCGAGGAAGCCCTCTGAGTAGTCTGTTACCATCTGCCTCAATGCCCGAGTCCATGACAGTTCGTAAGTACTTTCTGAGTCTGGCGTGTATGCCAGCAGTGTCTCTGTGCTTATGGGCTTGGCTAGCGGGTGTGAAGGTGGTGAGTGTGTGCCTGCTGTGTACTTGACCATGGTATCACTATCAGATCCTGTAGACAGCTTGAGGTGCACGGGGGTGTGCCCGCTAATGGATGGAAGGTACCTTCTCTGCCTTGTGGTTTCCAAGCTGCCTTCTGTATGTAGCCAGCTGCAGCTCTTCCAGCTGAGTTTCCCTGTGACTCTGATGATCTAGTCAATGACCAGGTGGTGCAAACCATTTCCAGCTGTACCTCCCAGAAGAAGCCTTAGAGACTCAGTGATGAAAGGTGGGTGCGAAAGGTTTTATGTCGCGCGCGCGCGCACACACACACACACACACACACACACACACACAAATGTCAACAATTGTTCAAGACAGACGCTCTATCACTAGGTCAGCAGATTGAGAGTGGGGCTGGGGCCCCTGTCTTCTTCGCCTACCTAAGTTCTGCCCTATCAAAAGGCCACAGCAGTTTCTTTATTCAACCAATGAAAGCAACACATAGAATTTAGTTCTGTCTTCTCTGCCTACCTAAGTTCCGCCCTATCAAAAGGCCATGGCAGTTTCTTTATTCAACCAGTGAAAGCAACACATAGACAGAAAGACCTCCGACACCAAGGTCTTTAGGTGTGCCAACCTGAATAGAGAATTCTCAATAGAGGAATCTCAAAAGGTCGAGACACACTTAAAGAAATATTTAACATCTCAGCCATCAGGGAAATGCAAATCAAAATGGCTTTGAGAGTCCATCTTATACCTGTCAGAGAGGCTAAGGCTAAAAACAAGAGACAGTTCATGCTGGTGAGAATGTGGAACAAGGAGAACACTTTCCCACTGCTGGTGGGAGTGCAAACTTGTACAGCTACTTTGGAAGTCAATATTATGGTTCCCCAGAAAACTGGAACTCTGTCTATATCAAGACCTAGCTGTACCACTCCTGGGCATAGACCCAAAGGATGCTCCATCCTACCATAAAGATGTTTGTTGTGGCTTTATCCACAGTAGCCAGAAACTGTTTCCAGAAACTGGAAACAACCTAGATGTCCCTCAACCAAAGAATGGATAAAAAGAATGTGGAACATTTATACAATGTAGTATTAATCAGCTGGTTTTTTTAAAATGACATCTTGAAATTTGCAGATAAATAAATGAAAATAGAAAACAGTCACCCTGAATGAGGTAACCCAGACCCAGAAAGACAACACTGTGTGTGCTCACTCGTAAGTGGATGTCAGCTGTTAAGTAAATGATAATCACAGGCCCAGAGAGCTGGAGTAACAAGCAGGATCTAAAGGGGACACATAGGTCTCCCGTAGATATTAAATATCATTGGCAGACTGGGAGCAGGTGGGGATGGGATCAGGAGAGATCAGGCGGGATGTAGGTAGAGGGAGAAGGTACTGGGAGAGACCCCTGGAATTGGGGGGCCACTTTGGGGAGTGATGTGGAAACCTAGTGCAATGGAAACTCTCTGGAATCTGTAAGGATGCCCTTAGCAAAGACTCCTCGTAATGGGAGATAAGGAGCCTGAACTGACCATCTCCTGTAACCAGGTAAGGCTTCTAGTAGTGGGACTGGGACATGGCCACATAACCTTCGACCTACAATTTGTCCTCCCTACAAGATGTGCTGGGGTAAAGGTGGCACAAAACTTGTGGAAGTGGCCAACCGTGACTGGCCCAATTTGGGGATCATACCGTGAGAGGGAACCCATCTCAGACACAGCCTAGATTCCCAGGACTCAGAGGATGAACCAAACACACCTGGCAACAAAGAAAAAAAAAGCCAGTGAAATGACTCCTAATGATGCTCTGCTTCACTCATAGATCAGTGTCTACCTAGCCCAGTTGTCAACAGAGAGGCTTCATCCAGCAACTGATGGGAGCAGATGAGAGACTCAGCCAAACATTAGGTTGAGCCCAGAGAACCCTATGGAAGTGGGGAAAGAAGGATTGTAGGAGGCAGAGGGGTTGAAGACACCACAAAAACAGCACCTACAGAATTCAGTCAGGCACATATGGTCTCACAAAGACTAAAGTGACAATCACAGAGCCTGCATTGTCTGACATAAGTCCTCTGCTTGTATGTTATGGTTGTGTGGCTGGGTGTTCTTGTGGGACTTGTAACAGTCGGAATGGGGATGTCTTTCTTTTGCCTGCTCTTGGGACCCTTTTCATCCTACTGGGTTGCCTTGTTTAGCCTTGATATGAGGGTTTGTGCCTAGTCTGATTGTAACTTGTTATGCCATGTTCAGGTGATATCCCTAGGAGGCCTGCTCTTTTCTCAAGGGAAGCAGAGGAGGAATGGATGGGGGGAGATGAGAGAGAGGGTCTGGGAGAAGTGAAGGGAGAGAAAACTGGTCAGGATATAATATATAAGAGAAGAATAAAAAAATATAAAAAAATATCAGGGAAGATCGTTTTGCGTTTCCTGCCTCCACCCATCTTACTTGCTTCATCTGTGAGAAAGATAGGAAGGGCCATCTGTGTAGCTCTATCGGCTAGTCTGCTGGAACAGAGGGTTATGGACCAGAAAGCTTTGGCAAATGTTTCTTTCTCTGTGGTGTGTGGGAACTGCGATGCCGAAGTTAGTGCTGGAGAGCTGATTTCTGGTGAGGCGTGTCCTTAGCTTTCAGGTGTAGCCTTCTTTCTCTGTCCACGTCACCTTTCCTCTGCACACCTAGGTCTCTGCTGTCCTCACCATAAGAACAGTAGTCCTGTGGATCAGAGCACTACTCCTATGAAGTTATTTAATCTTGATCATCACTATGAAGGCCCTGTCATTAGGGTTAGGTCTTAACCTGCTTTCTATTACAATAAGGAAACACCTGGAGACTGTGTGATTTATAAAGAAAAAAAAAACACAACTTACTTAGCTCTCAGTTCTGGAGGCCCAGGAGGCTGGTACTAGCATCTTTGTTTTTGGTTCTGGGCTGTAAGATGCAGATAGCAGGTTTGTGTGGGAGGAGCACTTGAGGAGAGCTACAGGAAGACTTTCTAACAGTCCCCTGTCAGTAATGAAGCCTGTCCTGGGCCTTCCTCCTGTGGGTCCAGACACACACTCTTGAGAAAAAGTCACCCTTAAATGCTCAGGTTCTCAGCACTGTCACCCTGAGGAATTGGGAGGATGGACCACAGCAGGCTTCACTATGTGGGGGTAGCTTTGTACATGTTGGGGCCGCTTGGTACAAGTGCACATGTTGCAGGAGCAACTGACTCCAAGAGGTGCAAGTTCAGTGAAGACTTGCATTCCAGATGCTCACCGTTCACAAATCCTCAAGGAGTTCAACAAAAGAACTTACCAACCATGAACTCCCCAAAGCTGGTTTACCAGTTTCCTCTTCAAGGCTGGTGCAGGCATCTGTGCACCCTGATTCCTGTGCACGATTTGTGCAGTTGTCTGGTCTTGCCATCCACATCTTTTCAGAAGAGCTGGTGACATGTACCTCCAGTGCACCACATCCCCATCTGCTGTGCCCTTAGCTCACTCCCATGTGCCCATGGTTTTCTTTGGCTCTCCTGTAGCTGTTATCACCAGTACCTGACAATCTGTGGACTAATCCAGATGGTGATTAGTTTGTTTTGGACAACAGGTCTGAGGGGAAGGGTACTGTGCAGATATCTGGAGACCTCCTCCATACCCTCTTTTCTTATCAAAGGTATCTGGTGTGTGTGTGTGTGTGTGTGTGTGTGTGTGATTTATATGCACATATGTGCACGGAGCACAGAGGAGAATGTCAGATGTCCCACTCACTCACTTTCCAGCTTACTCTTTTGAGAGAGGATTTCAAACTGAACCTATGGTAGGCTGTGGTCAGTAAGCCCTAGCAATCTTGTCTCTTTGGTTTTATTTTTGAGTCACTGTCTTGTTATAGAGCCATCTTCTTGCCTCAGTGCTGGGATTGCAAGTACTGCATCTCAGCCTTTCCTCTTTTCACATAAAAACATGGAAGCTTAAGAGTTAGCTAACTTGGCAAGGCCTTCCAGCTGGCATGGTTGCTAAGTAAGTGGACACCTACTCTTCATCAGGCATGGTTACTAAGTGGATGGGTGGGGAACTGGTGATGGACCCTTGTAGACTGAAGTTTCTGTCCCTCCAGGCCCCAAATAAACACACAGAGGCTTATATTAATCATGAACTGTTTGTTTGGCCTATTAGCTCAGGCTTATTATTAACTAGCTCTTACAACTTAAATTCGTCCATATTTTTTTATCTATGTGTAGCCATGTGTCTTGGTACCTTTTATCAGTAAGACATTCTCATCTTGCTTCATCTGGTGGTGGTGACTAACTCTCTTCTTTTCTCTTCCCAGAATTCTTCTAGTCTGGTTGCCCAACCTGTACTTCCTGCCTGGCTACTGGCAAATCAGTGTTTTATTAAACCAAATCAAGTGACAAATCTTTACAGTGTACAAGAGCATTGTCCCACAGCAGACCTGGTCTTCTAACTCCAAATCTTGTAGGCCCAACAGTTACAGATTCTTTAAGGAAATGAAATTCACTGTCCTCAGCTGTTGGACATATAATAACATGTGACCACCCAGGGTAAACTTAGTGGGCTTACTTTTTTTTGTTGTTTTGGCTTTTTAAGATAAGGTCTTGCTGTGTAGCTCTGATTATATTGCTGTGGAGCCTGGAATTCCCTAGGTAATCAGGCTAACCTCAAACTTGTCATCATCTTTGGGCCTCAATTGGAGTGATGGATTTATAGGCATGTACCACTATGTCTGACTTTACTGTTGTATATCAAAGTGTGGGTGTGTGTATGTCTGTGCGCCTGAGTGTGTGTATGTTTATGCCTGTGTGCCTGAGTGTGTGTATGTGTAGGCCTGTGTGCCTGAGTGTGTGTATGTGTAGGCCTGTGCGCCTGAGTGTGTGTATGTTTATGCCTGTGCACCCGAGTATGTGTATATGTATGCCTGTGTGCCTGAGTGTGTGTATTTTGG